AATATAAATTAGAATAATTTTAACTGACTTTTAGTTTGAAGTGCATATTCATTTCTGTGTTTTATGCTGTTTCTTAGCATACATTACCTTCCTTAAACTGCACTTTATCAGTAGAGAGAACAGAGGAGTGTGACTGACAACTTATATCTGAACACAGTGCTGATTGCTAAAATGGAAATAAAAGGTATAACTTGCTAGCCCTGTTATAAACAATTGGAATTATCTCTGAGTCAGTGAAAAATGTCAGTTTAAAAAAATCTAAAATGTTTTTAATCAAATGACTGACATATTTTAACAAATCATCATGCTTAATATAAATTTTATATAACACTCAGCCAGCTAGTACTCATTAAAGGAAACAGTCATCTAATGTTTGAAGAAAAGCATCATACAGAGCCAATTCTTTTACCTTTAACATTGAGGTCGCCACAGATTTTGCCACCATCTTGGCATCATTGACAATGGCTACTTTCAAATCTTGCTCACCAAGGAATACATCTCCCTCTGCATTCTGAGAGAGCAACCCTATTTGAACACTGTCAGAGCACTCATCCCAGCTGTAAAGATTATTCAAAGTGATTATTTTCCATTATACACATTTGGATTTCTTATACACTAATCAACTCAAAAAAAAAAAAAAAAAAAAAAAAATCTGCACTGCTTCTCCTAAAATTTGTTTAATTTTCAATTTTCTTTTAAATAATCGACATTTTTCAAGGCTAAAAATGAATTTACAGCTTAGACAATACAAATATAATACACAAAAATATTAAACTTAACAGTAGCAGAACATTAACTAAAATATTTAAATTTGTATCAAAATATAAAATCTCTAATGACAAAATAATATCTCACTTTTCATCATAAAATGTCAAAACATCCTCTTTCAGGAGGTCAGCAGCTTTGGCAATGACATGCTCCTTATCTGGCCAGTCCAGGTCTTGTGACTTTGATTCAGCACAGTGGAACACAGCAAACTGTGCTCTAATGATGGCATTGGAAATCAAGCTATCCACATAGTGGTAGTTAAAAACCTGCAATGTGTTATATAAGTTTATTATTTCTACTGCTGAAAAACATTAAAAAAATTCACGATCTTAAAGCAAATAAACAAACAAACAAAAAAATACATGAAAAATATATTCCAAATACAGTAACTGCCAAATTAAAATTAACTACACGGTGGTGTCCAAGTTAATGAATTTAAACAATACTGATCATGCAGTGCAACATCCCTCTTACTATGTACCTCTTTGATAAAGGTTGTCTTATCATTCCTGATATCTTGCATTTCTTGCTTCATCAAGTTGTTAACCTGGTCTACAAGTGTATGTGGATACTGGACCTCTCTATCCATGCATTGTGTAACTTGGCATTCGTCCTTTTCCAGTTCCTGGGAATAAAATTTAATGTATAGATTCAAATATGACAGATTATGAAATATGGAAAAGAATGAAATATGGAATTAAATTTTAATAATTGTAAAAAAGAGAAAATTCAGTAAAAATAAATATGCAGAAAATAAAAATTGCAAATGGGTTTAAATACTGTTACAAATACAAGTTAAAAAAGCAAAACATCAAAGATATGTTGATAATTTTGGTAACTAGCATATATGTATACATGTAGGAAATACATATGCCAAGTTGACTTACTTTCACTGTGGATCTCTTTGCAGTGCTTTGCATGTCATCATTCATCTTAGCAGAAATCAGCTGCACAAGGGTGGCAACCAGTTTCTTTGAGAAGTCTTGCATGGCTTTCTGACTGGCCTCAGTTGCAATATCACATACATCATAAAATGATGCAAGTAGGCCATGTGTTGTTCCTAGGGTGAAATCTTTCAAAGTAGCCTCTGTGATCTCTTCTGGAAAGTCTGCTTGGTACTTGTTTACATTACACCCAGCATTCACATCATCTGCAATGATTTTGGCAACAAGTTCACCCAAGGACAGATAGGGACTGGGTCCAAAGGCTGCAGTGAGGGCCAATTCTTCATCTGAAGCTGTAAGTTCTGTGGATGGGTCACTGGTCATATTTGCCCTCAACTTCCCTAATGCTGCATCTTGCCTCTTCTGTACAAGTGCCTGGTTAACTTGGATGGCCTCCCTGAGGTGGTTGACTGATGCAGTAGAAGATGTCTTTGTCAAATTACGTCCATACATATAGCCAGACTTTTTCTGTTTTAGCTTCAAATCAAGGAGAGATGTTCCTGTTTGTGCACCAATATCTTGAGTGACCTTCAGTGGCTTGTGCTGGTCTTCATCAAAGTTCTTCTCCAAACTGTGTAGAGAAACTGTCTGCACAGATGCCTGTACATGATCCTTCAACTGGTACTGCTCACCACTCAGTTGTATGTAGTTGCTCAATTCATCCTCCCACACATTCACCAGATAGGACCAGTCTTCTACAACTGGAAACACTGCCATCTTTTGTCTCATTCTTGTGAAGATGGAATTCTTATCTCCAGCACCATTCATTTCTAACTGGGCCAAAATGTGTACAGCATCTTCCCCAATCTCATCAAATGGAATGTTTGCATCAAACAAATTGCCTGCTCTTCCTGCCTTGGTCTCCTCTCGGCACAGTACTGGTGCACTTTGGCGGTTGGTCATGAAGCCCATAACCTTGTTTTGCCAACATAGGATGTTGTCTTTAGTTGGCACCTGCGCTGACTGGTATTCTACATGCCTGGTGTTCCCCATCAGAACATTGAGCATGTCATGGATGAGTCTACTGATAAATCCTGTGGCTCCTTCCTCAAATTCTGGCAAGGTAACTGCTTTCATTTCTTCCTTGCCTGATACCTTGTAATCCATGTTGGAGGTTTTTGAAGACATCGCATGAACTAAAGATTTTGCCAGTGAAGATTTCAACTTGAGGGCAGATTTTAGTCCTTGGGTCTTCTTAGCATTTTTGTTCTGCACAAACGCAATATCAGATGGAGCCAAAGATCCCACAAATCCTCTCCTTGCAACCCACTGGGGACTAATTTTTAAAAGTCTTTTCATCCATGTATTCTGCTCACTCTCTGGTAAATCAGACAGTTTCTCATCTGGGAACCATGTACTGCTTGAATCATCTTCTCCATCACTAAAAGATTCCCCTTCCTCAATCATGTACTTTAGTTGTGACTTGGCCACTCCCATATAGACAAATAGCCCTTCCACAATGTCCCTTAGAGTTGACTCTTGTCCTCTGGCTGGAGGGTGTGTACATTCCAGCTGAACATCTTCCCCATACTTACAATACCAGTGACATAAATACGGATCTTTAGGTGACATTGCTCTCTTACACAGAAAACAATCAGGCCGAGCATCCAGCTCTTCTTGACTTAGGTTGGTCATCATCTTCTTACGATACTCTGCACTCAATCTCCTGTTAAACCAATCATGCCATTCCTTGTTCTCCTTCTTATCTCTTCTATTTTCAGGTTTCTTGCCCTCATCGAGTTTCTCCAGGATCCAAGCAGGATTGATCCTCATCATTTCCCACAGCCAGTACTCACACTCAACTGGTCTCATCTCATTCAACTTCTTTTGTGGGAATGTTGTACCTTTACCATTCACCAGTGTTGGGTCGGGCAACTTCATGAAGCCATAGAGAGATTTAACCTCTTCCTGCAGGGTTGCATCTTGACCAGAGATGGGAGGTGTAGCCAAGCCAATCTCAACAGCACGCTCATATTTACACAACCAGTGGTAAGGGTATGGATATTTCATATCCACTGGCCTCTTACATAGAATGCACAAAGGCTTGATACCAGCATCTAGATGTTTCTGCTCCAGAACTGACATCATTGTTCTTGGACATTTTTGGACAGGTGCTTGAGCTGGGTTCACATCTGTTCCTTTGGATGTTTTGCTGTCACCTTCAGTGGCATTCTGTTGTGGTTTTTGGTTCTTGCCACTCTTTTTGCTAGGTTTTCTGGCATTACGGTTGTTCTTGTCCTTCTTAGGAAGCTTCTGGCGATTTTTTGGTGGCCTCTTTGTCTTTGGTTTCTTCCCACTTGAAACCTGTTCCTGGTGATCCAGTGGGATTTCTTGAAAGGCTGCTTCCCCAGAAACAGGTACCTCACCAAACCATTTTCCAGTCATCAAAGGAATGTCACCAAAAATAATGTCATCAGGTGACAGTTGGAGTTCTTTATCCTCTTGGCTTGGCTTGGCCTACAAAGATAACTTTTGATAAATATCAAGCAATTCATCTGCATTGATTTGTTATAAGGTTATAATATAAGAACTAAATGGTTATTCATAAAGCAATATACGTTTAAATGGTAGGGATCAGTAAATAAATATCAGTTGTTAACAATCTTTATATTAAAATTATTGGCTGGTCAAATTCTGCTCAAATAATCTGGTAAGGAATATATTAAATGCATCCTGTCCATTTCTGTTTCACTTGGTACAAAAGTAATTTACCTCTTTCTCTGCCTTTGCAGCACCTGTGCTACTAGAATAAAATTCAGTAAACAAAATTTAGAAAGTGCCATCCAATATCATTCAGTAGTTCTGTAAGATAACTGCATCTAGGTATTTAGGTCTTTACATGGTACTGCCTCAGTTAAACACACATTATAAAATAACTTGTTACTATTCTATACATAAACAGTAATATGATGAATGATTATATCTAATCTAATAACCAACTATATATATATATATATATATATATATATATATATATATATATATATATATATATATATATATATATATA